CGAGCATCTTGGAAAACTTGCTCATAAGGGTTATCCGACCTGCTGATTACGAAAATCACATCTGCTTAGCGAGAGAGCTTCATATTTTAGAGTTACGTTGAGAAAAATTTAGAACGACATGCTTTTTTCAAAATTCACCAGCCCTTCTAACTCCTTTGGAAAGAAGTGTGCGGCTAATTTTTAGCGCCCCATAATCTACCGAAGAAGTACTATCGAAAATTTCTTTCTGAATCTACTGGGGGCAATACGCGCTGCTTCACACCTTTGCGAAGAGAAGCCCGCAGAAAGTTTTGAGAATACTGAAATCGAGATATCAAGGACATTCTGCATACTGAAAGATTTGTCTTGATGAGCTGAGCACAATGCATTTTTCGGATTCAGAAAATATCCACTCCAAAGAATGTTACGGCGAGTAGAATCTGGAAACGAGTGATTTTTCCAGAATTTACCAACGCACTATAATACGCAAGAAGAGCACTATCGAATGGTGTTTACCGGAAGCTTTCATGTTGGATAGGCGCTGCGTTACATACTTGCAAAGGGACCCACTCAGAACAATTTGAGAAAACCGGAAACAAGATATAGATGACATGACGTATGTCGAAAGATTTGCCTTGACGTGCTGAACACAATACTGCTTTCGGATTTAGAATATATTCATTCTGCAGGAAGTTATGGCGCTGTATAATTTGCGATATTCCGGAATCGCGAAATTTCTGGAACTTCGCGAAATTCCCGTTCTGTGGGTGGTATTGTACATTGCACAGCACGCGCGGCATTCCACGATATGTGCTTCTCATGCGATTCCAACCATTCCCCTTTGTCTTCCTGCATTTTGGGACCCGTCATACTTCGCCGAGAAAAGCCCAGTTGTACACATATCCGTGCAGAATGAGCTCTTAAACTATACCCACCCTATTTCTGCAGTGCTCAACAGAATGTGTAAGTAGCCTCTGGAATCAGCTGAATGATCCATTTAACTGAAATTCCAAGAAAAAACCTATATCCCACAATTAGGCACATCTGTATACTGGAAGACGCGCCTCGCCGAGCTGAGTTGAATGGTACTCTTATATATAGAATTCATAAATTTTGGATCAGGATAAGGTTTTTTTTATAAAAAAGTTAGGCGTTGCGCGGCAAAGTTAGGCGACAAATGCCGCTTTTCCGCCGACTTTTGCCGCGCGACGCGGCGTTTGTCACCTAACTGCGGCGGCGCCGCGTGAGTTAAGTGCCGCCGCCATTTTTTTCACAAATTACGGGTGGTATTGTACATCGATGGCCTTCTGCCAACGCTTGAGTAAGTCGTGGATCCCTCTGCTCCAAAACGTGGCGGCTGCGATTCAAAAAAATGGTTTCAATGTCGCTTTGAAGTCATGTCCGTCCAGATGGCGTAAAAAAACCTGAAAAAGGTAGTACTTTGATGGAGCAGATCCGGGGAGTACGGTGGGTATGGTAAAACAGTCCATCCATACGTCGCCAGCTCGTTCCTGGTCGCTATGGGAGTTCTCGTGTTCCGCTAAAATACACCCGAGCGTACTGTCCTCTTGCATTTTAGAGCTGAGATTCAAATGTTGTAGCTGAGCAACGTAAGCTACGACAGTTATGTTGTACCATCGTCCAGTAGCTCCCAGTATTCTAAATCGTGTAGGCTCCACTAGATGCCATCAGCACCGCACAGCATATTTTCTAATTTTTTAATGCTAAATCCCGAAAGAGCCCAAGTGACGAATGGATAGAGCAAACCCAACAGGATACAAAACTATTTCTGCTTTTTATAGCTGATCATAATTTTTTGAATGAACTTCTACCAAAACCACCGAATTAGCAGATCTGCCTCGGAAACAAAAGCGACAGACACCAGTAAGTCATCGAAATTGAGGCCTGCTAAAATACATCAGGCTTTATGGGCGTTTAGGGATTAAAAGTATCAAATCTCGAATATTTCCTGCACGGCTTGACATGAGTTACGCTGATTTCATCGGCAAAGACTTTACTTTATTTTATTTTATTTTATTTAATACGCAAAAGGCGTGCCCATACAACAGAAAAACGAAGCATCACACCAAACAACCAGCAACAAAAAATAAAACAAAAAGGCAAACTCCCCACTGAATCAGTTCAAGTCCAGTCCGCAAAATCTTTCTGAGAATGGAAAGGGAGTGAGCTTGTTTAGACATATATGAAGTCATCACAGGTATAGAGGTTCATGGAGTCTGTCTCATGCCCCTGCTTTTAGCAAAAAATGCTCTTATTCAACATAAGCAATTGTATATGTTGGAAGCAGGTGTATTGGTAGTATATTGATGAAACCCGCCCAACCAACTGGGGAGAGAACAGAACTCCGATAGAAGAGATTGCACAATGCAACTTCACGAATTCGAAACAAAAACACCTCTTAGAGAGAAGAAAACATGTTGAATCGAATGACACCCTGGTTGTTCGCCAAATGACGTTTTATGAGGTTTGTGCTGACCATGGAGTTTGATAGCACAGTACTGTATCCTGTGGGGTTTGCTTGTGAACAAAAATATATCTTGGAGTGGAAAACTTGCTGCATCGAATGAACCCCTATTGTTCGCCAATTGACATTCTATTAGGAGTTAACCATGGAGTTTGATAGATAGTTGGATTTTTTCGGGGAACCAGTGCAAAAATCAAAAAAATTCAACGAAACTTAATCATGACAAAAGCATATGTTTCAAATCTTGGTGATTTTTCGGGAACTCGTTCATTGCATCGCAATAAGAACGCTACCATTTGAAACAGGATGAAAAGATGTGGTGAATGCTATTAAGGCCGTTTATTGATTATAAATATATGCGAATAGTGGCAACTTTCCAGAAAAAAGCGAAAATACTCGAATGTATAACTTTCTGTCACTTTCACTGAAGCGATATGATAACTCGATTCTTTGCACTCCTTCGAAACTCTTAGTTATTATATAGTAGTCTCTAGAGAAATTGTCCTTGAATCGAATTGGAATCAAGATCGAAGCTTTTGAATACAAATATGGGAGTACGTTGATGTAGATGTGACTTTTGGTTTGTTAAGAGTCACTCAATTTCTAGTTATTTCCGCACAGTCTACCATTATGTCTCTTGCTATCTCTTAGCAAATTACATAGAAGCACAGAATGGACAAACTTTCCTTTCTGAAGGTTAGATCATTGATACGAGAGCAGGGCTCAGCACGAGGTGGCTAGGTGAAAATGCAAAAAACGAAGTCCCCCTTGACTTTTGAGAATTTTTACGAAATCGCCTTTGACCCTCAACCACATTTCCTCTAAAAATCTAAAAAAATCCCCCAAAAACGAAACGTCGACTAAAAAAAAACGTCGCCGAATCGCCAATTTTGCGTGTCTCTTCGATCACAAAAACGAAACCCCCTTTGCTCGTCCCAAAAACGATATCCAGCTTGCTTGTAAGCCACCTCGTGCCGAGCCTTGTACGGGAGGAGAGGGGCCTGACTTTCATTTTCTGTCAGATCTTAAATTACGGGTAGAATCTGTGGTGTATTATCTGGAAGGTACCAAGCCATTCATATGCATATTCAGTGCTTTGAGAAGAGGTTGAGACCGCATTCCGACTATGTTTACTACAGCTAAATCAAAAATTCTTACACATAAGCGATGAATCACTGAGACCTTGAGGACGGCGCGTGAATCATCAAACAACTGCTAATTTCATGTCATTTGCCACCACGCACTTAGCAATATTGACTCTTTGTTGCAAAGAGATGCTAAAAAACCGGGCGCTGCTCAAAATGGCTTCTGACATCTTCTAAAGAAAGAAACTTTAACTCATCCTGTTTCGTTTAGCTTATATTTACCCAGATTAACTAAGTGGCCAATACGTACAATAAAATTTCATTTTTGAGCAAATACTGCTTGACAGTAAGCGTGATACGTAAAAATTGTGGGTATGAGTCATGTTCTTATGCAAATGGAACTATGTGCATACCATTATTTATAACACGAATAACTCTACCATAAAGTTTCCATTATATTATACAATCATTTGATTAGTCCTTCAAGATTACTCAGTTCAAACTCGGAAATAAACAATCACAATGTCAATATAGTACAATGAATTACAACTCAATAACTGCAAACCGAAAAAGTATAGTCTTTCATTATGTTAATGAAAATATCAAAGCTACATCCTCGAAATTTAAGGCAGAAAAAAGCAAAGTTTCAAAAAAATCTGTCAGAAATGGACAACAGCCAGAGCTTTTTCCACCAAGTTCAAGTGAAGGGTAAATTCGGGAGAATTTAAAGAAATAAAATAACTTCAATGTAGCAGTGCTTTCCCTAGTGACAAACTTTAAAAACAACATCTGCAATACTCGAAAAAAGTGCAGAGATGCAAAAGAGCAAACCATAAGGGACGAAGCAGTGCTTACACTTCGTGAGCTTTTCTCTTCAGAGTTCTCAAATCTTTCACTAAATATAATGTTTTCACCATACTAAGTCTTGATTTTTGGTGATTTTCTGGTAATATGTGGTTTTTGCAATAAACCCAGCAGACCACGTATGATTTTTTGCAGTTTGTCCTACTGCATTTGATCAAATTTTAGCATATTAAAAAACTTTTCTCGAATGGCGAGACATACGAAAATTATGTAGGAAGAATATGTGAAGCGTACCATTTTCCCATTCACAAGCATACTGAATCTTCCAAATGCATTCTTCAAACGAAAAAAGATTCTGAAAGGCCTAATGATGGCCCTTTAAATTTTTAACTCCACTGATCCATACCTTCCTTTTTACGGGAGTCCTAGCTGGTTTCATCATCACGGAATCTATTGTAGTGCGGATTTTTCAAAGAGCGTCGGGCTAGTCCCATAAGAATGAAGTGCAAAGCGACCAGCTTGGCCGTTTCGTGAATCGGATATGCTAACGGATTTCATTCCCATTCTCTTCAGATGTTTTTATGACGATGCGCGACTTTGCTGGTTTCTACGAGCACTCCGAACGAACTATGACTCATTCGCTGCGGGCGAAGTCGCCGTACTCGTTCCGTCCCCGTCTCTTCATCAACATCTGTTTAGCGGTCAGTCGAGACAATGTTGATCGCCTACCTAGCCACCATCCCTCTACTAATCACTAGTGCTTATTCCCTACAATGTCATACTGGTTACTCTTTGATAAAAGGTGATTTTCAGCCATTTTTCCATTTAGACGAAAATTTTGGTGCGCTGATTACTGGCTGTCCATATGCGTTTTTACTTCTAAAGGTCCGAACAAAAATCTCTGATAAGGGAAGGATACCAACATGATTTGACAAATCAAAAAGAGATGTGTATCATTAGATGCTTATATGAACGCTTATTCCAAATCTGCTTAAAAGTTATGAGTCCCAATTTTGTGAAAGTCCCAATTCAGGTGTTAGGCTCGAAAAGCTGTACAAAAGCACCTGAAAGTGGAAAATCAGTCCTGTATTATGTATTCTGAATAGGGCAGGATACAGCCTATGGAAATCGCATGCTTATTTTGTACAGATTTCAATTTTATGCCACTTGAGGCCGGAGAATTTAAACTTTCAAACGCTCATAACTTCTTTGAGAGCTTCCCCTTATAGAAAGCTGATTTGGAGTCAGGGTTTGGGGACGCGTTTAAAGATATGTATACACATCTTTTTGGTTTGCAGAATCATGTTGATATCCTTCCCTGTAAGAAGAGACCACTCTTTGCAAAACTCTATAGTTTTTGATTTTACAGTGAAGTTTTCTGTCTTTCAACTTTCTGTCACGTTTAAAATTCCTTGCCTTACAGAAATGTTCGATTGCTTTTAAAATAAAGTGGAGCTCACTTTGGAGTCATTTCCACAAATAGCTTCATTTTCTTAAAGCTTATTTACTTTGTTTATCTACAGATGATAAGTCTGCCGAAAATTATAAAGCAGGCGGAAGTAGTGAAGCTTTCCATTTTTCTGTTCTCGCAGAGTTAAAAAACTCGTACTCGCTGACCATTTGAATCAAAAGGCAAATTTTATAATAAAGTTCTTCCTCTTTTAACTTTCTGTCACGTTCAAAATTCCTTACCTTACAGAGATGCTCGATTGCTTTCAAATTTGCTTCCTTCTAAAGCGTAGTTCAGAAGGCTTATATTGATGAGTGGAATTTTTTCATCAAACTTGAATGATTTTCAGCTTTGCTCTGAACTTTGGTGGTTGATTTAGTAGAAGACCGTTTATGTGCTATCGCAATGCGTTTGAGTTCTAACGAAAATCTTCTCAGAAAAAACTCCATTTAAATAAAAAGCCGTGCTAATTCGAGATGTCAAGATCCTACGATTTTTTGAAAACTTGTACACAAAAATTTTGTGCCAGCTCATAATCATTTGCATAATCATAAGTATAGAACATTCACCAAATCTTTGATAAATAAAATATCAAAAAGTTTGAAAATCTTCTTACCACTTATTGGACAATGGATCAAGTATCTACTTTATTATCAGTCATCATTCACCAAAGTTCGCTGATGACTATGGTCTAGATTACGGCGTGAAACATATCATTTCTCTCTCGTTTTCATGACTGTTATTTTTCTTTGCTAAAAGAGATGAGAGTGAATAAGCAAATTTTTTACTAATGTGTAGAAGCTATTGTCAGCATTTATGAAGCCATAAGGGCTCAAAAACTCAAAAATGCTTGAAGTGTGCTCAGTGACGAATGAAAGAAGAAAAAAAAATTACCTAATTTCCGTTTCATTTCTATCACTATGCGGAAAGTTAGGTAAGCATACGATATTCCCGGAACTCATCGGTAGTGAAGGGAGATCTTAAATCACTACGTAATATATAACGAATTCGTTGTTTACCCATTAAGCCGCCCGATAGTTGGATCATGGCAAACGAAGAGGCCGCAGACGTAAAAATTATGATGAAATACACTGATCTTTGGAATTGGATTGCTGCCAAGTGGCATGCGTTTTGGAACGCTGCCAAATTTCATAACGAGTGACTAAGCATATTTTCGTAAGGGGTCACACGTATTTCGAAAGGCAATCATGAGGTCGCAATGATTTTGAGACTGGGTCGCCAGTGTCCGGGTGTCCGGGTGGTTATTTGTAGCTGCTTTTTTTTTCGAGCTTGTTATCCCAGAATGTGTTTTCAAATATGTTGTACTCCTATTAGTTGCTGAAATGATGCCAAATTGCGTAACAGCGTGATTTGAGCTAAATTCATCCAAGTTTCCAACTCTTGTAAAAATGCTCTAACTAAGAACAGTCACTTTATCATCGTCTTGCTTCCACGTGTAGACAAGAGAGTGCGTGAGTAACTTGGTCTCGCTGGTACTTTTGGAAACTTTATCTAATAACAGCCTTGCTTTTGCTTGTGTAATGGGTCCCGCTTTGCTTTCAACTAGGTATAGGCGTGTAAGCGGCACGTAGGGCAATTGCATCGGGCAGAACAGATTTTTCTACGTTTGGGACAGTTCTTATAATTTTTAAACGGTCTGTAAGCGGCACGTAGGGCAACTTGATCGGGCAGAACAGATTTTTGTACGTTTGGGGCAGTTCTTATAATTTTTAAATGGTCTTCAAGCGGCACGTAGGGCAACTTGATCGGGCAGAACAGATTTTTGTACGTTTGGGACAGTTCTTATAATTTTTAAACGGTCTGTAAGCGACACGTAGGGCAATTGCATCGGGCAGAACAGATTTTTGTACGTTTGGGGCAGTTCTTATAATTTTTAAATGGTCTTCAAGCGGCACGTAGGGCAACTTGATCGGGCAGGAAAACAGATTTTGTACGTTTGGGGCAGTTCTTAAATTTTTGAACGGTCTGTAAGCGGCACGTAGGGCAACTTGATCGGGCAGAACAGATTTTTGTACGTTTGGGACAGTTCTTATAATTTTTAAACGGTCTGTAAGCGGCACGTAGGGCAATTGCATCGGGCAGAACAGATTTTTGTACGTTTGGGGCAGTTCTTATAATTTTTAAATGGTCTTCAAGCGGCACGTAGGGCAACTTGATCGGGCAGGAAAACAGATTTTGTACGTTTGGGGCAGTTCTTATAATTTTTGAACGGTCTGTAAGCGGCACGTAGGGCAACTTGATCGGGCAGAACAGATTTTTGTACGTTTGGGACAGTTCTTATAATTTTTAAACGGTCTGTAAGCGGCACGTAGGGCAATTGCATCGGTCAGAACAGATTTTTGTACGTTTGGGGCAGTTCTTATAATTTTTAAATGGTCTTCAAGCGGCACGTAGGGCAACTTGATCGGGCAGGAAAACAGATTTTGTACGTTTGGGGCAGTTCTTATAATTTTTGAACGGTCTTCAAGCGGCACGTAGGGCAATTTAATTGGACAGGGAAACAAATTTTTGGTACGTTCATGCAATTCTTATAATTGACGGTCTCTAGGTGGCTCAGTAGTCGTGCTTTTCGGGGAGGGATCTCCTTTTAAACGATTGATTTCGTTGCTGTCTGGGAGGGGGGTATCTGAATGTCTCTGTGAGGAGGGGAAATTTGCAGAAAGAGCGTGGTAAACGCGAGAAAAATAATGCCCCATGCATGGTTGCAGCAGGAATTTCGAGAAATTCTGAATGATTTGTGGAGATTATTGCTTCTTCGAACAGTCCTCCTTTTGTAGAATGCTTCGCAAAGATGTTCTCAGCAAAGGCATAGGAAACTTATTTAGAAATATTTATAACTAGCTGGCAAACCCGGCTCCGCCCGGTCCTGTCATTATTATATTCGTAATCAGCATGCTCGATTACCCCCCTGTGCCACCTCCCAGCCCCGTAGCTCAAATTTTGCAAAAAATCGATAAAATCGATATGGATCGATAACGAAAAGTAGTCTATGACACGCTCCCTGCCCCGAAGTATATGTGTGCCAAGTTTGGTCCAAATCGGTTCAGAAATAAAAATTTCTATTCCGCACATACGTACAGACATACAGACATACAGACATTCAGCTTTATATATAAGACTAGCTGGCTTACCCGGCTCCGCCGTATCCGGACCAAACTTGGCACACATACACTTCGGGCCCTGGCGGGTGTCACAGTCCACTTTTCGTTATCGATCGATGTCGATTTTACCGATTTTTATCGATTTTTTTGCAGAGATCACTTACAGGGCTAGGAGTTGGCATAGGGGGCGAAGTGAGCATGGGGATTCCGAATACAACATTAGTTTTCAGGATCGTCCATTACTTTTATCGATTTTATCGATTTTTTTTGTAAAGTTTGACCTGCGGGGCTGGGAGTTTGCACAGGGGGGTAATCGAGCATGCTGATTACGAACACAATATTAGTTTTCAGGATCGTCCATTACTTTTATCGATTTTATCGATTTTTTTTGTAAAGTTTGACCTGCGGGGCTGGGAGTTTGCACAGGGGGGTAATCGAGCATGCAGATTACGAACACAATATTAGTTTTCAGGATCGTCCATTACTTTTTCGATTTTATCGATTTTTTGAAAATTTGAGCTAGGGGGCTGGAATTTGGCACAGGAGTGTAATCGAGCATGCTGATCACCCCCCTTGGGGGTGATCAGCATCACCCCCCTCGATAAAAGTAATCGATAATCCTGAAAACCAATATTGTATTCGGAATCCCCATGCTCGATTACCCCCCTGTGCGAACTCCCAGCCCCCTAGCTCAAACTTTGCAAAAAAATCGATAAAATCGATAAAAGTAATCGATAATCCTGAAAACCAATATTGTATTCGGAATCCCCATGCTCGATTACCCCCCTGTGCGAACTTTCAGCCCCGTAGCTCAAACTTTGCAAAAAAATCGATAAAATCGATAAAAGTAATCGATAATCCTGAAACCCAATATTGTATTCGGAATCCCCATGCTCGATTACCCCCCTGTGCCAACTCCCAGCCCCGTAGGTGAACTCAGCAAAAAAATCGATAAAAATCGATAAAATCGATATCGATCGATGACGAAAAGTAGCCTATGACACCCGCCGGGGCCCGTAGTGTATGTGTGCCAAGTTTGGTCCGGATCGGTTCAGAAATGGAATTTTCTATTCGGAACATACGTACACACAGACAGACAGACAGACAGACAGACAGACAGACAGACATACAGACAAACAGACATTCAGCTTTATATATAAGATCACAACTAATTTATAATCACAACTAAGCCCTTATATTGTATCTGCCTCTACCCATTTGCTAGCGACCCGTAGGGTCGCTAGTCATATATAAAAAAAGAAAAACAAATTAAAGAAGATGAACTAATCTAAAATATAATAATGTAGTTGGTAGATCTATTAAATGGCATAGGGTAACCTCAAACTTGGGTAATTAAACTCAAAAAAAGGAACAGCGCTTCTAAATTATACATATTGACAGCGAACGTTTGATTGCAGCATGATTAGTAGGATACTTATACACTGAATAGACTTATGGTGTAAAGATGGCGTCATCAAAGATTTATCATCATGTGTATTGCCTTTGTCATTGTTATGCGACAGTTTGAATGAGCTAGTTATTAGCGAATTACTGGTTTTGAATTGTATTGTGCTTGTGCAGGAAGCTTAAGGGCAGTGTCCAGGCTCCTGTGCTACCTCGATTAGTGCCTAACCTGAAAGCAGATCCTAGGAGAGGGACATATGCGTAGGTCCGGCACTCCAGTATTTCTTCTGAGCAGATAAAATGGACCTGGAACCTGCGAAAGTGCTATCAAGCCACTCCCCACCCTATGAAACTCCGCCCATCCAAAGACTGAAAGTTGCCTACACCTACAGAACAGGGTTCCCGAAAATCGGGCTTTTGCGGATTTTGCACATTTCACGCTTCATAAACTTTAAATCGAGACCACGGAAAGGATCTCCAGAATATACATGCGGAAATTTTCGGTGGAGGTCTTTTCAGTAAAAACTGAGTAAGATTCTCAGCCCTAAGAAGTCCTAGATTAGATTTCTCTGAGTTTTTCTGATGATGCACTTCATGATTTTCTGCCAGAGAAAGAGGGTGAAACATACTTTTTAACTCTGAATTAGAGGATACTCCTTAATTCTACTCTTTGAGCAAAATGGCAACAGCCAAAAATCTTTTACCCACTCCTTCCGTCGTCCTTCGGCTCCCTATGCTCCAGCATTGATCGCTAAGAAATGTGCATGTAAAAATCTTTAGTCGTGTGAATAAAATAGCTTGTCTAACAAAAGCATTTTAGACAAAAACACAGCACTTCATTTAATACAATCCTTTGTACTAATTGATGATAATCAGTAAACATTGTCTAGAAACCTTCAGTCGAATTAGGGATTGGTATGCCAAAGAGACGTGGCAACTTTTTTTCATGATTATGCTAACACAAATATTGAACGTCCGAATGTTTTACGTAATCGGCATAAAGCACAAAGAACGATTGTTGAGGGCCTCTGTTGGCAAAGTTTTTTAGTGAGTTATTATGTTGTTGTTAGTATTTCTCAGCATAATTTATGCTTCATTCGCTCTTGATAGTAGTCCAAAAATGCTTTTCCCCTTACGTGTTATGAGAAAAAGTATCAAGCATGCGCTAAAGTTCATTGCGAAATCACGTCCGTAAAGCAACAGATGAGTCGGGTCCATCCATAATATTTTTTTTCCCACCAGATTGAGTAGTCGTCAATTCTCGCAGGAAAAACAGCTGAATGAAGATCCAAAATGTTTTCCAAGAGGTAATGTTGAAATTGCAGAATTTTACGCTGACTCATTTTCACTTTCTCAGCTTCCGCAAATATCTTCGCTTCTTATATCAAACTCTGCGAAGCCTGCAAGCGATTGAAGTAGAGAAGAGCTTAGGCGCTGCGCGATTTTCTATGAATAATGAGTTTCTTTATCGAATTTCATTGGCGTTCTTTTTCATGAACTTGTTCTCGAGGTTCTCTGGGAAAATGAATTATACAATGATGAAAAAGTTGCAAATTACAAGCTTCTTATGAAACATTGAGACAGCATGAACAGCGCACAGTCTTGCAATCGTCTATTTCAAAAGCACATAAAAACCTTCAAACATCCACTCTGAAGGTTATGAAAAGGAGGACAAAAGAACTCTTTGGGAGCTACACTCCATGTTTGCGCATATCACAATCAGAATAATGCCCATTTTCGTGTCTCTAGAACTCAAGAATGTCTGACTCAAGAATGCTCATGCAAAGCTGTGAAATTTTACGTGACTGAAGAATTTATCAATTGATCGCTATCCAAGCAACTCTAAGCTCTCTCATATTCAATAGAGGTCACTCTGTTTGAAGGTTTCTTGAAGGCCTTTGGATAGGGCAATGTAAGATTTTACGTATACAGTCTTTATGAAATCGCAAGAACTGCGGAAGAGAGGAAAAATTGGAAGAGGAGAAGAGGAGAGAGAGAAAGACGAAAAATATCAATCACTGTTTCTCTTATATCGATCAGAGCAAGAACTCATATTCTAGCTAAAGAACGTAAAAAAAAGGATGAACATCCATTTTGCAATGGTGTTAGTTCCTCTTTTTCATCTGTGGCTTTGGGCACTGAGTAGAGACTTTATTTTCTAAACAGATTATTCATTGAGTTTGCTTGTTACTTGAACTTGACATCATTGTGGCACTTCGTAGTGAGGCGTATGTTGCTTGCACAATTGCATAATGTTTTTTACTTTCACGATCTGTGCAGAATTTGACAAAAACGCTCACACTTGCTCCATAAATATCTGTCCTTTGTTTAAAATTGCAAAAAATGGCAACTTTCGTTGAGTTCATATATCATATGAAAAGGAAAACGCTGAGAGAGTGACTAGGAGGCACACATAATTGTCGCGGATTTTTACACACCTACATTGACTTACAGTTATTTTGGCAGTGAAGATCTGTGCGATTCTAATCAAATCTTCGCGAAACTTCCAAATCTTGACCATGGAAAACTCAAGACCTATTCAGATCAAAACATCTGATAATTTTAGGATCAACGATAGGAGAGGCGACAAAAGAATGCGGGAAGGATACAGATTACTGCTACAATGCTACTGCTCAAGTCTTCTCATTCAGCAAACTACAGAAGGCCGGCTGCAACACAATGATTTGTCAGGTACACGCACGGTGGTGACGAAAGGAAACGAATTTTCGTTTTCTTCTATTTCTTATACTGTACAACTTTTTCCGAAGTTTTCTACACTATTGGAGCAAGAAGTTACGGTAAATACTTACCTGTTCACAGCCAAAGTAGAAATCTAACACATTTTGAATGATAATCTTATAGGTACTCCAGTGGTGTAGAAAATTTCAAAAAAGTTGCATAGTAAAGAACCTGAAAAGAAATAGACGAGGATATCTGATTGGCAGACTGGAATATTTCAAATTTTTTGTCGAATAATTACTGTAGGTACCGTAGGTAGATGTGTTCAAATTTTGCAAACATCCCCTATGTTATTATATCTTATCAAGTCCTCGTTAATACGAATACTTAATTTTGGAGTTCTTTTGATTGAAAGCTATAAATGCGTCATTCAATATCCTTAAGCAGGGATTTTTTTTCGCGAAGTGCAAACTTCAGTTCATTTTTCATCAAATCTTTTTATTCTTGAATTTCAAAAATATGGACATTTACAAAACTTAGCTCATGGCTCGTTTCAAAAAAATTTGCCGTTCCAACTTGAGCTGTTTTCCTTCGTCTGATTTTTCACGTCCAAAGAATAAAGTTTTGTTGCTGGGAGGAGCTCAAAATCACTTTTTCCAAATGCATGCTTTAAAACCGGGTACCATTACGGATAGAGGGCAGCGCCGCATTTGAGCCATACAGTTTTGGTTATAGTTCCCTTGATCTGTATGAATAAAGCAAACATAATTATTATCAACTGCTTATTGTATTATCTGCGTTACTATCATCACTACCACCAAGTCGCCCACTTTTCGCTTTTCTTCTTGAAGGATCATGGATTCCACGGAGTGAATACGGCCCCCACAGGCACAGAGCAGAAATCGAAAAAAGCTTTGAATGGCGTTCAATGCTCTTCAAGGCAACATAGATTTAATCTGGAAAGGCCGCTTAGACTGTGACTGCTTTTCTTATAAGTCAGAAGAGATACTTTGGCACATCTGAAAATGATCTTTATTCAAGAATAGAACACATTTTCTTAACCAGTTTTTGATTCTAATACACCATTTGCAGTTCATTCCTGACGGATGTCAAGAACGCGAAATCCTTGGAGTGCCAGTTATATTCTGCTGTTGTAGAAATGAAGATTTTTGTAATCGAGGGAACATGACTGTAAGTTTCAGTCTCTTCTTCAATGTGGTGGAATTGTTGACACATTAAAAAAGTAACCTTCTTTTATTATAATTATTTTTGAATAATCCAAAATATGTAGACATCAGCTAATCCTTTTACACTAGCAGTGCATACCGAAAACACAATAATGCTGTGGCAACATGCACCAAAAAAGCACTGTAACACATTTCTTCGCTGGTAAGTGAAACCAATAAAATTAAATGTGCCGAGAGTTTTGCATCCTGCTGTCCAGTTCTTAGAAAAATTATGACATAAATGTCTGTGATTTCCACTGAATTACCTCAAAACAGTAGCGTTCCGATAAATGGTAGGGGGGGGGGGGGGAAGAATTGTGCGACAAAGATTTTTGTTGAGGAGCGTTTCAGCCACGTATTCAAAAAATTGAGAAGTTTTCAAGTCTACACACTTCCGACCTGAAGTGACCATAAAAGGATGGCGACAGCTGCGTAAAAAAATATATGGAATGCTATTGGATTTCCGAAATTTTTCGATAAAACACATCTTAAGTTTACGAATGAAAAATGATGTCTTGCATTTCTTTTATATAATTTATCCGAACCAATTGGATACGTTCACTCTCGAAGATAAGCGCTATGCCGAATCAAAAAACCACTGTCATTTTTGCGAGCTTCATATATGGATAGATACCAAGCAAAATTGAAATATAATTAGATAAGGATCTTAGTATCGATTTTGTAGCCAAGAATAATCATTTAGGGAGTCACGCCCCTGGCCGAACGTGGTGCAGCGGTATTAAAGGAAATGGTGAACTTGTTTGACTGATCGGATGTCAAATGTCAAATCTGCCTCCGCATTCCTATCGAAATATAACTCTAATTTTTACCATTGTGATATCTCAAGTAGCGTAATCTTTTTGAAGCCGGTATCAATTCCAACTTTCTTGTTATTTCTTGCTAATGGACTAGTTTTACATTTATATATCAGTTCTTCGACCAATGATCCCTTCGCATTTGGCACGATTGTATTTTTATTGCTTACTAATCACATTAATAAACCTGAATGTACTTACTGCCCTTCAGTCATCTTGTTGATAAGTTTGCTATAATATTGTTTTCTAAATAAATATAACAACTGAGTAACGACGAATGCGGTCCGCTCATTTGCTGGCATATATCCAGCAAGCTTTCATCAAAGTTTTCGTGCAGGAACAGTTTTTGTAGGGAAAACGCAATCAAAGCTGTACACGTCGTGCATTGGAAAACACTGAATTTGTTTTCTGTAAGATGAAGTCATCGGTATTTGCTAAAGTCTGAATAAATACAAGTTCTCTCTGAACATGAAGCTGCTGGGGCAACAAAAATAGCACGAAATAGCTCAACATTTTTCTCGCCTAGAATTGAAAAATGAAGGAATCATCGCTGCGAATCCCATTTAGTTGAACTATATTTTCTTCTTGCAGCAAGGCCAGTCATGAATTGGCACCTGAAAATCTTCGAACAGGCCCCCTCTTGACCTCGATAGTTTTTGGACATCTATTTTCAAAACAGGAAAGGAAATCTGCCATCTCAAGTCTGTGTTCTTTTACACGTCAGTACTGCGTCCACAATATGTAAGGCAGGCGCCATACTCCTCGAGGAGTACAGCATGGCGACGATCGATATGCATCAAATACGTGTAAAACTAGCGATTTTTGTCGCCGATATTGGCGATCGCCCGTCGTCATGCTATACTCCTCGAGGAGTATAGCGCCTGCCTTACTAAATTGCAGTGAAGAATGATTTACAGTGCTACAGACCATGTTAGAGTCGCATAGTGATGTTCACTTTTATGTGGGATTACGTAGCGGCCACCCGATTGAAGAAGGATTGAAAAACCAGTACCACTACCGTAGATTTTCCTGATACGTTCATGATAACTGGTGCGAGCTTTTGTGAAGCAGAGGTGACGCACTGATGCTTTATATACCGCTCCCAACTTTGACGTCGCTTGACGAAAAAATGGTGAAATAGCTTCCTCATAGGTTTTCAGGAATCATGCTCAAGTGAATGAACTATATTCAAACATTCACAATTTGGTGTACACTAAGCTGGTACCACTACGTTGTATAAGCGTTTATTGGATAGTAGCGGAGCAGCCGCTGACGATATTGGCAATATATCGAACCAACAACAGAACTGAGTATTCAGGCCCTTTTATGCCACTGTTTTGGGCGTGTATAACCTGAATGCTCACTTCTGGCAAATTGCAGTATCATACAGAATCAAGGACTGCCTACATGAAAGTAGACCCCGCCAAGTAGACTATCAAGCACAGCGGAGAGGTGACCTGGCGGCTTAAGTGGTCAGTGAACAATAAGCTTTGTCAACGACAAGCTAGTAGATATGCTAATAACATACACGGTAGATCTAAAATGCTAAAGGTTGTAGATTATTTGGATAATCTACGACACAGTCAGTGAGACTTGTTTTCTTGCGTGGCCGGTATCTTGTTCGTGGTCAATTAGAGCGGCATACAGACGAAGATGGGTGACGTACCGTTTGTTCAGACTCAAACATATTTGATGATTCATTAGTATAATCAGTCGAGCAAGAGGTGTGGCACACAACCGCTGAGTACGACCTCCTTCCCCCCCCCCCCAACATTTCCGTTTGCCTTTGCCCACCGCAGGCATGACATAAAGGCTCTACCAAGCAGCATGATTAGTAGCGTATTCGTGATTATCATGTCAAATACCCCTCATGGGCCAAGTTTTAGCGAATTCTGAGGTTTCCCAATATTGGGATACCTAAGTGAAGTGGTCATTTTTGGACATGGTTAACTATATTTTTAGAGTAAACTAGCTACCTTTTCACTCAGTACAAAGCTTTACTCCCTATTTGCCAATGTCACGGATCCTGTTTCAATAATCATCAACGTATGGGATTAGGAGTCAGCCAAAATTCATTTGTCTCATTCACTTACAGTGGTTGTGCTTCCACCAGCTACTGTTCAAACAAGGAAGACAAGTTTAGCTCTAATCACTTCCACAAAAAATTTTGGCTATCAAACTGTGTAATTTGGTCCTTAAATTTCTCTTTGGAGGTAAGTTAATGGGGGTAAATATTGGGCCACCCAAGTAAAATGGATTTTCGACTATGTTAATCCGAAGGCGAGTTAACTACTTCTTTCTGCAATTGATACAAAGGACTACTAGTTCTCTGCTCACCTCAGAGAAATATAAGTAAGAGCAAGTCATAATCTTGTTTGTTTCAAATTTCGCTTTCAGTATATCAGACTAGAGAAGCGCAATCAGGCTCGAACCGCTTTTGTGTAAATTACGAGGCTATTGAATACATTAATATATTGAATATATTGAATTTATTTATTCTTGTGCGTTTACTTCGCGATGCAAGCAGTTGCCAGAATGTTACCGTAACCCAGTATTTTCGCAGTATTACGTTTGCATAGGTAAGGAAAAACGACCATATCTTTTCCTAGAAGAAACGATTTCAGATAAAGTTCCTTTATAAAGAAGAATTTTAAGCAGTAACAGTAAGGGCCAACCGTCGATAGTAGGGTTCGTCACTATAAGTTGAAACGTGTTTTGTAAAATCTCCGGAAAGAGTGAACTTTGAATGAAGTGGACTGTGGGAAAGAAGAGATACATGCTTGCCCCAACTCCCTTACAGTGCATCTCCCCTAAGAAGGATTTAAAGGCAGTGGATCGGCAAAATCCAACAACTCGGGATTTTAACGCGGTAGGATCCTTATCGCCCAACTATGAAATGCAATCCCGGTTGCAAGCATGCTTTCCCTGCCGAAAAAATCGCTCTCGAACTTAAACGCGCAGGCTAATCTTAATCTTATGCATCTGGACGAGTTGGCAATTTCTCACCATCTCAGACACTCGCTGTTGACTCGCACAGCCCAAAGTTTTGTGTAAGCGCTGAATGAAGGCGCGACACAACTAATCGGCCTTGCGACGAAATCCCGAGACAGCATTATGTGTCGGAACAATGCTGCCCGAGACAACGCTTTGACGCGACCCGCATCTTGCAAGAAATACGCGGCAGCTCGAGGGCGACACATCCTCATGTCCGGACGCAACTGGAGCGCGTTATCTCGCAGTAGTAATTTCGCTATATCCCTACTTGCTGTACATTACATATATGTATATACTTATATGTGTTATAAATATACATTATATATATTTTTATATACATATATATAAATGTGTATATATGTATACATATATGTACGTATATATATATATACACGTATATATATGAATTCTACAAAGTTTAAACTAACCAATTTATTACTTCTAAAATGACACAAGGATTGATTGGAAAATTCATTAGCACATAGTGAATTTACTTCAATTTTAGGAACATTTCAATGCTAGAGTTATGTTCAATGTAGACACGCAAGAAAATCAAATAAGAACTTTGGGGGAGTCAAACTACTTTGTTTACTATCTTGAAGCTTCACAATATGGAGATACATGATGAGATAGAAGTGTACTTGGTACCGTTTGAACAATGAGAATCTCGGAATGCAAATAAGTGATACGCAAAAGCGGGAGTAGAGTTAAGGCAAATGATATGATAATGATATGTAAGTACAGCAAATTAAGAAAAAGTAGTAGCAGATGGGCTAAAACTCGTCGGGGCTGGTCTTTTCTATTTCCTTGGCAGCAGAAGAGCTGCTTGCCGTAGTCTCGATCACACGCTTCTTCTGAAAAGAAAAAACCATGTCGACGAAGACTGAGAATAAGTGCACTAGCATCTTACCTTTGGAGGAAGGAGTTTAGCTCTTACCGGATTCAGTACATAAGCCCGTACATCTCTCCTGCAAAACGCAAGATAGAATGTCCATCTGCCTTATCAATATTCGAATAGCTGACAAGGCTCTTCCGAGGGCTATGCGAGCGAAGACCGCCCAATCCATCCTGGCCTGTGAGAGCATGTCGAAAGCTTTTGATCGCTCCCTGTCGTCCTTTCCAAGATTTGTCCACCATCTAAATCGATGAAAAGTAATAACGCAAACTTAGGAATCGATTTCTAGAGAAGAAGCTTCAAAATTGGATTTCAAATAAAGTTAATTTTGGATTGGAATGAAATAATGGAAAGAAGAGGTCTTAGGTGGGATGGATGCACGAATTTTGAAAATAGGTAGCAAAAAAACCTGGAATGATGCAATATGAGCTGAGATTTGAAATGCGCGTCGATATTGCGAAACTGCTCGCTGAGTCACTCATCATCTCCCGATTTTCTTTCGCGACCATCCTCAAAAACTGTCAAAATATTGTCTCGCGCATGTCTACGCCCTTTCCCGCGAATCGCTCAAAAAGGGGCGGATCTCCGGCGCGAGTCAACAGCGAGTGTCTGAGATTGGAGGCTGCCCGCCGCAAAGCTATAGCCATTGAATCCTGCAACGATTCGGCGTCAACAGCCTTGCTGCACTCGTCCAATTCCACAGGGAAGGGCATTGAAAAACGGTCGTTTTCGGCGTTTTCAAGCTTTCAAAAGTGGATTTTCGGGATCAGCGTATTGAAAAACCTCAGGTAAGCGCAAATTTGACTAGGTCGAATTTTGCCGAGCCACTGCCTTTAAGTTAATCTTAGGGGTTTTTAGGCAGCGTCCAAAAAGCTACCGATCTGGATGCTGATCGTTTTGTAGACGTGATAAATGTGTGCGTTCCCACGAAAAAAAAAACAGCAATACTGTGCGCGCAGGCATGGTCAAGATAGATGATTGTGATGCAACTGTAGCGACCGTGGTTTGAGATTGAGTAGCATTTTGCTGCATCGCCCGCGATCATTGATAGCTGCCACTATTGAAAATCAACCAAAAATTTAAAAAATCATGATATTAGATCGGCGTGTCCCCTCGTGTTGCGAATCGCTGGTGGAGCAAAAACCTGCACTTTGAAAAGTCGTCAAATGAAAGATTTTATCCGGCTTCTAGCAATTTCTTTTACTTTTGATGTTTATTTGCGTCTGATTTTCTTCTTCGATTTTCTACAAACGACCTTCACTTCTTTTGGGGAGTACTTGTTCAAACAACCTCCACGCCCTGTCTCTAGACTATCGAAGATATGATCCAGACTGCTCCGTAAGCCACCTGTGCCGAGTCCTGCTCAAACAACTCAGTTACAAAAATGGGTATGCTTCTTGACGTTTCTTCGGCGTCAACATTTAGGCAAGCATCTGAAAGCAGAGATGGTCGCGGAACAATACAGAACTGACAAACAAGGGAATCTTTGGTTATAAAATCATCGAATATATGGATTTTACTTACTCCAAAATTTACATTCCACAGTTCCACAATCTGGCAATTTTTTGATGCGAGATTATTGGACAAATAAGGATTAGTGCTTTTTACTGAAACTAAAAAGAAGTAGTAAGTTCACTTCTGAAACAAAGTTAATCAAGTTCAAAAATGACCATTTCCCTCGAGTGGCTCAATGTTTTGGAACTACAGTTCGCTCAAACTTGGTCCACAGGGGATATTTGACATGCTTATTTGGATATGTTACTCTTTATGCTTGTTAGCGCCATTTTATTATGCTACGGTAGGTATGGCAAGCTAATATCTTATTTATTTGTATTTCGCACTAGGATTATCTGGCAAAGTAATTGCGAAAATCATGTTATCGCTACTATCGGTATCTAGCCGTAGAGCACTTTCAGCATTGTTCAAATTTCCGGCATACATTCTATACTGAGCAAAGAACAGAGACTGCGATACAGATTCATTCGTCTCAGATTAACTCAGTAACAAAACAAGAACAAATGATAACAATGCTCAACGGCAGAATCTCAACAAAATTATACATCACTGAGCAAAAAGAGAAGAAGAAAATCGGTGCTCTCAGGTGAGTCCCGAAATTCCGCATTTTCGACTGCCGTGCCTTCTTGGGTCGTTATCACTCTTTTTTTGAAGTTGAACGAGAAGAATTACATCACAGCTATGAAAAATGGAGATAAACTTACAATGGGGACATGAGCGTCAGGCTAGCTGCATCAAACTCGTATTGGCGCCTTCAAGCTCTGCAATTCCTCCCATGTGCTCAAAGTAAATTCCTTGAAAAGCGTAAAAAAAACTTTGAAGAAAATTTGCCAAAAGAATAACTGTTTGAGCATGAGTCGTGAGGGAGTTCTGGCGTAAATAAGACACCCGGGAGCAGTACATTCTCACACGGGTTCTTTTCATCATGTGAACCGTTCTTTATTCTTATATTTAGTGGCCGCGCCCGTGATCTAAAAAAATGGTCGGGCCAGATAAGAAGATAGTATAAAAATACGCTAATGCTAAGCCTTGTAAAGGCGACACTATCTGTGCTTGTTGTAAGCAAAATCTTTATTTCATGGCATTCGAAATGCTCGTTACTTTGAAAACGTTTATCAAAATCATAGGTTAAGGCAAGAATGCGGGAGTTACCCCATTTCTATATTACACCAGAAAAAGACTTCTTCGCTGGGAAAAACTCTTACATTCGTATGCAACTGGCCGTGTATCTCAGTGACTCGGTCTATGGTATTCGACAATGGTAGTCGTAGCTGTGGTAGTAGCCGTACAAGATAAAGCGAAGCTCTTTTGGCGAAAGCTCCTCGATGCAACTCTGCAGCATAAATGAAGAAGACATTCTTGCAACAGTTGGTACGCACCCCCTGAGCCGACAACCAAACTGCTGGCAGATGGCCAGTCTGTGACCAAGAGATGTTCAGCAATAATTGCAGAAGAAGCAGTGCTTGTACTCATACTGTTGTAGAAGTTCTGTCTTGAGGCGCCCCACATCATACGTAAAATTGTACCAAAAGGCAGCAGGATTCTAACCATTATTTCCATGTCAATCCGGCGCGCCCACCTTCTGGGCATGTTTGCCTTGATTCCACATAATGAGCACGTCATCTAGGTATGACTCCATCACATCAGCCACACCAAACTGCGTAGAAAAATTAGCCATATAGATCAGAGCCTGCTTTTTGTTATTGTCATGAATATGTTGATCCTTGAGATAGAGGAGGCCTGGAATCCAGGCTACGTACATCATCTGCATCGCATTGACAAATCGTGCACATGCGTATTGTGCTCTCTCTCAAGAGGTGTGCCCGGTTCTCCTCTGCACCACCAACATTTACAAGGCGATACGGCCTTGCAGGAGGGCAACCAAGCTCATCTAGATGCTCATCATACTAATCCTGATCATGTGCCGAGATACTTGCCGTCCCCTTCCCGCCTACGGTGGTGTAACGCCTCCTCACTGGCTGTAACTGACTCAGAATAGGTAGGACACTGGTACTGCCATCAGATATGCCACTGGATGGTCCTGCCCCACTCTCGGAAGCATAGCACCGCGAATACCCGACGAACGGGGTTCAGTTTACATATTCCCAACAACTACAATGGAATTATTGCAAAAACTCATGAGAGACTAAACGTTTACCAGCACCTGCGAAAACGAGTTATAACAGCACGAATAAGAAAAAATGAGTTAAGAGACAAGTCAACGAAAATGAGAGTATAACGTAACATATGACAAAACTTGATATGCAGAAACATAGTTGATATAGTCAGAACCTTGGCTTCTGTGCGTTTATCGATTGGAACTGATTCGCAAGAGATCAATGATACCTGTTCGACTGCAGTTGGTCATCGGCAATGATGCAATCAAAAAAATTGTTGAACTTAAATGATATGTGTAGGCTGGGTGGAAGCGATGCGAGAATGAGGGACTGACAGACATTCATTACAAATAAAGAAGTTTTAAGAAAAGGAGAAAGAGGCATAAGTCATTGTTTCAACTGGAATAAGAAGGTGGAGCCGGCTCGCGAGTGTATGCAGAATGGAAAATGAGCGTAAGCGTGGAATAGCTTCCCTTCAAAACCTGTTTGTACTTGTCAAGCACACGTCCGGTTAAGCCCGAACGACTCACAAATCCGATCGATAAAACCATTTTGTCTCGAATTATATCGAACAATCCCGACCAATTTGCAGGCGGAATCGGATCAACGCCAGGACAAAATTTTGTCCCGAAACAAAACGAAAGTGGGCGGATCTCCGGCGGTCATCAACGGTGAATGGCTGAGTTGGAGAAAACGTTTGATACGTTACCATACTGTAAAGCATTCCACCAAAACTACTCGCTCCTAAGTCAATAATTACAGACTCCCTATGGTAGGCGCCGCCGCCTCCACGAAGAAATGATCTTTTCACGCATACTATAACATACCGTTCAACGGCCAGTACTTCGTGGAGACACCGCATAATTGCGGTATTGATTCCTCTGATAAGCAGAACTTCTCCATCTCTCTTGTGTCTTTGTTTGTGATCAGAAATAAATGTCTTCCAAATATTGGTTGAAATAGGTTTCAACCTGCATAAGCGCCGATTGATAAAACTATGAGCAGGATCCATAACCCCTCCCCCTCCGGGGAGCGCAACCTAAGGAGAGTTTTATAACCTAAAGCTTCAGAAATCTAATTTTAATGTTGTTTAATTGTATAATCACAGCGCTTTCACTATTTTACTCATAAAATAGAACAAAAACGTAATGTCGTGTAAGCCGCACTTGGGTAGCTTGTATTACGCAGATGTGGCTTGAAACACTTTCTCTAACTTGTCTAATGATTTTAAGATAAACAGGTAAAAGGATAAAAGATAAAGGATGCGACTTCTTCAATGCCCTCTGTATGCTCGGCGAAACAGTTGTCTGCGGTGGGTGGACTGTGATCGTTTGGCTACCACGCGGGACTTGCGCACAGCGGGCACACCTCTAACATGGATAATCAAATCTTTATTACTAAAAGCGACTAACAACTATACAGCGACTACGGAATTAATACATAAGCAATACAACTTCCATATATGTCATCCGGATACAATGTGAGTTGCTGTGAGGGGTTTTGTGAGGGGGGATCGTGATAAATATGGTAAATTCAGATAGAGCAACAAAAGTACTAAACAACTACACAAAGAAAGGAGAAATGACACAACACGACCAGCCACTAATTATATATACTGCGAACATAAACAAACGAAGGACAAGCATGATAGATGCATTGATAAGCTATCAAAGAACATGACGCTGTGCGAAATCCTCGGGCTTTAATCACCTTGCGCGCTGAACGTTCCTCAAAGTCCAAAGAATATTACGAACCTCAAGTTCGTATACTCCGGCCCTAAGTCGAAAATGTGAGGGGTCCGGTTCGTCCTACTGTGATGTGTGTCGTCGTCAGGTCCGTCGTCGTGTTCCGAGTGCCGTAGTTCGCGCTGGCAACCCTCTGTACTGTTCTCGAGTACTCTCCTTTTCTGCCTTAGGCGGTTGACTCGCCTGGCAATGGACATATACCTGCATGGTGGTCATAACGTTCCTTGTCCGCTGTTCTTGCAGTAGAAGCATAGGGCTGGCTTTTCGCAGGCACCCGAGTGACGTTCCAGGTAACGGTAGCATCTCCCTTCACGGTCCAATAGGGCAGTGGCGTACCCAGGATTTCCGCTCGGGGGGGGGGAGGGGGAAGGACAAAAATTTTATTCGAATGAAGATGCGTGGCGTGAGCCACGCACTCCGAAAAAGTTTTAGGAGTGCTTCTTAAAATTTTCGCGGGTCTTTAACCCCTGCAATCCGGAAAAAGGGGGCGTGGCGTCAGCCACGCCCCCGAAAATTTTTTTACTTACTTTTTTTTTACTTTTTTCTTAATTTTTTACTAAAAATTTTTAGGCTAATTTGAGTTTTTAAAAATTTTCAAAAATTGTTTTAATTATTTGCAAAAATAAACAAGTCACATGCACATTTTTATAACCCATATAAGCAACTTTCAAAAATTTCGCGACCCATTCTTGGGGGAAGGGGCGCCCTTCCCCCGCCGTCACCCCTCGGTACGCCACTGCAATAGGGCTATTCAATCTGCGATTGAAGTCACCCTGGGACACGAATCCGAGAAATGTATCTATGTTCCTATAGGAAAACATACAACATACATGCAAACAGACCGCATTACATATAAGATTAGCAATTCTACGAGTTTAGCAATCGGCGCAGGCGCAAATCCACAGACGAGTGATATTCTAAAATACATTTTCAACCTGAACTTCTACCATCAACCTATGTATTACAGCACAACCGCTTACAAAGCGAGTTTTCAAAGTTTTCCTCAAAATGTCAGAAAAAAGGATGACAATCTCCGTTTTTAATGTTTTTCTCTAAGGGACGCTACATACATGTTCCTTACAAAAAACGTTTGCTCAAACGCTCATCTTTTGAAAAAAAAAACACTTGCAACGCATTTTTTCTCTAAATTAAGTCCTTCAGAAATTTTTGCAAGATTTGCGCTCAAGGAGAACGCTACTTTCCTAAAATAATCTTTTGCTCAGCGGACCATACATGTACCATACCATCCTTCCACAAGACCATGGTTTTTTGAGGAAAAAATGAAATTCTGAGTCTCTGAAATAAACTTGCCCGAAAAAGTACTTTTTTTGAGTAGCGTACTGCTCTGCGGGCTGTACATTCCCTCCCAACAGATCATGTTTGCTACAACTTTTGCCCAACTTTTCGAAAAAAAATTGAACTTTGCCAGGAAAAAAGAAGATACTTTTGTTCCTTATGTTTAAATTGTGGCTGTCGCACAACATCAGTCGTGACTCTCATTATTTGTAACGAACCTTACATCTTACATATCACTAACTCTTTTACAATCCATTTTGAACACTGCCATATAGTTGGTATAATACTGAAGTGTTTCGTTAGCTAAAGGCAATAATGTACTTTAAGTGGATCCGAGAAAAAAACTAATGATCTGGAAAAAATGGAAAATCCATTGATCTTTTACGCTGTGTTGCTAGACTGAGATAAACGCTAGGAGCCATCCGAAAGACACTTCAAACGCCTTCGGGGTTATCCCTCCCCCTCCCTCTCGGTGGGCTACTCGTTCCCCGAATCCCGCCGAAATTTGCCCCGGAAACCCCGCACTTTGCACGCTTAGCATACTGCAACTAGCCTCAAATAAGCTCTAAACCTTCATTATGCTCCTGAACCCCACCCGAATTGGCTCTAAACATTAATCCGCACTTAAAATTGATTTTTTGGAAAGAAAAACGCTACTAGACATGATACTATTTATCCACAATAATGAAGTACCAAGTACAAGTTTCATGGTCTTTTTCAATTTCCTGAAAAGAATTTCGAATTTTTCCGAAAAAATTTAGAATAATTTTCCAAATCTCTACGCTATCTTTTTCTCCCGTAATGTCCGCGCGAGCGGTGCGCGTGGAAATCAAGTGGCGTAGAAGCGCGCTTTCTCGCAGGTTGTGTCCCACTTTTGCAGCTCCCTACACTCAACAGTGTAAGAGCTCATAAGGTTTACTCGAAAAGGAGTGTATAGTGTCATCAGTGGAATAGGTGCTCAAGTGACTTTGAGATGTATGAACACTGATGCGGATTAAGCATTTTTGCAGCAGTACGAGTATATCCTAATTACACCCGACTACGCGCTGAAAGTTTGCTTCACGATTAAACAAACAGCGCAATTTTCCAGGTGGCTCAAATTACTACCAAATAAGTCCATAAGTAGATTAAGCTGCTTTGCTTGACAAGCTACGAAGTTCGCCTCCTGACAATGACCGTAATGGCTGTTTTTGGGAAATTGACAAAATACTGATGAAGGTGTTTGGTTTGTTGTGATAGCCCTCAACCAGTGGCGTACCCAGGATTTCGGCTCGGGGGGGGGGGCGCGACAAAAATTTTTTTTCGATGAAGGTGCGTGGCTGACGCCACGCACTCCGAAAAAATTTTTGGTATGCTTCCTGGAATTTTCGGGGGCTCAGGACCCCGAAATTTCAAAAAAAGAGGGCGTGGCGTCAGCCACGCCCCCGAAAAAATTTTTTTTATAAGACTAAATTGAATTTTTAATTTTTAAAAATTATTTTAATTACTTACAAGTATAAATAAGTCTTTTGCACATTTTTATAACTCATGTAAGTTACTTTCAAAAATTTCGCGACCCATTCTCGGGGGGGGGGGCGCCCCCCCCCCCGCCCTACCCCTCGGTACGGCACTGCCCTCAACCTAGTCATTTATCACTCTAAATCTCACCACGTTTAGTCATATATGCGTTTCAAACTTCCTCAAACTGTTTGCAGTTACACTACGTTAGAGAGATGAAGACAGCTTAAACTTTGACACGACGAGTTTGGTTCAAAACAACATCAAAACCTTTTTAATTTTTCTATTTACATAAAAAAGCAACAATTCAGAGAGTTATTTAAAACTCTAGGGTACTCGTTCATTATCGCCTGATGGAGCTAAACATAAGCAAGATGGCTACTTGGTGAAACAAACCCTAATGCTTTCATTCACCCAAATCTCACAAGAAGTCCTCCCATCAGATAAGTCCGTTTATAGATAAGTCTGTCTCTAAATAAGGTCCGCCTGACTCAGATAACCCTTCAGATAAGTCCGCCCTACAAATAAGTCTGCTTTCTTTCCATTATAACTACCCTGAAATCTTGCCAGATAAGTACGGACTTATCTGTAGACGAATTTTTTTGATGGGAGGACTTATCCGCAGGATTTTTGGCGGTGGGAGGGGGTGTATTTTCATCAATATTTTTGTCAAAAACGCGGACTCATCTGTAAGATTTTAGGGTAGATTTTTCTTTGAACAATGGCTGCAAAGGCCATCACAGCAAATTTGATGCGATGATTAGCGAATCTAAACGTCACGCCCATGAAAAAAAAATGCGCATCTTCACGGTAATCGGCTGCCGCGCACGAACCGTCCGCGCTATTAGCGCGGTGGGATTAAATAGCGCCTCCGAACCACATATGGTAACCAAAAATAACAAGCAATATAAGATGACAAGAAAGTAAAGCAATGGAAGCCGTGGTTAAAGAAAGACTAAATTGGGATGTGAAGTTGACGTCTGCCTAATTATACAAAAAGCATCTGCGCCCGATTTTACTCATTTCTGCTTTGCAAAGACGCCAGTTCACAGTAGAAACACAAAACGAAGGGAGAGAACCAGATTTCAAAAAAAAAGAGATATAGAAGTTTTATATTACGGGATAACTGTTACTTGTTTTTCTAGTCACAGCTGTTTCACTGGAATGTGAAAGGCACCCACATGGAACTTCCCTAAAATGTGCCGAGAGCATAACAGCACAAGCAAAAAGTGGAAGTAAAATTATTCGATTCAGCGCACTCTACGTTTTGTGCATTCTGTAGTATACTTGGGTAATAAGAGAATTTCTCATCGAATAAATGCATATCGAATAAATTCGAAAAGGAAAAATTTCAAATAAACGAATATCGAATAAATTCGGAAATCAAAAATATCGAATGAATGAATTTCGAATAAATTCGGAAAATCAAAAATATCGAATGAATGAATATCGAATATATTCGAACATTGGAAGTCGAATTCCGAATAAATTCGAATGATTTATCGAATAACTAAAGCAACCACATCTCAAACTTGCCGACATATCTGGCTAGAGCCGATCCAATCATAATCAGCCCCCTAGTATCCCCTATACCAACTCCTAGCTCAAAATTTTCCAAAAATAGCTGAAATCGATAAAATAGATTTCGGTTTTGATCAGCATCCTCATTTACCCCCTGTACCAACTCCCAAGCTCGTAGCTCGAGATTTTCCAAAAATCGATAAAATTTATAAAGGAAACTTTTATCCATAATTAGCACCCTCACTTACCCCCTTGTACCAATCTCAGCCCCGCAGCTCAAACTTCCCCGAAAATCGATAAAGTCGGTCGGTCGGCATCTAGTCTATACATCAGCAAAAAGTCATATTTTACCCATTATGGACGATCTAAAAAGCAGTCGATATAAATTTTTATGCTGTGCCCAAAAGATTCTTTCTACATCAATTTAAATCCACATATGATTTTTTTACTGTCGCAAGCAGTCGGAAGAATGCGACTCTCCATACAGTTCAAAGGTATAACGGTTGCAAAAGATGCACTACCGAGTTTTGCGAAAGAAAACGCGGACGAAGTGAGCTTCATACGCAGTTGGCTTTGCAACAAAGTCGGATAATCTGAATACGGAGTCATTCGAACACGAATTCGAATAAACATTCGAATTAAACATTTGAATAAAATCTATTCGAAACCCCGTTTTTTGATTATTCGAGTTTTCAAATATTATTCGAAACCTCGTTTTGATTATTCGAGTTTTCGAATAATATTCGAAACCTCGTTTTTTGATTATTCGATTTGTCGAATTTTATTCGAAACCCTGTTTTTTGATTATTCGAGTTTCGAATATTATTCGAAAATGGAAGAACTCCGAATATCGAATTTCAAATACGAATATATTCGAATGTTTTATTCGAATGGAATTTCTATTCGATTCGGACCCAAGTATACTCTGTAGGTCTTCCTCTCGCCACCAAGAGCATGCATAATGGCCAGTGCTGTGATAGTGTTTCAAAGCAAGAACTGTAGGTTTTAGTGAATGAATGTTGGTTGGATGGTTTGGAAAGTGCATGTGCAACATTCTAAATGAGTCTAAAGCGTCGTAAAACTAAAAACGCGGATTAACAAACGAAATCGCGAAAAAATGTGAGAAAAATGATCCGTGTAAATTGAAAACGACAAAGCTTATTTTCAAAAATGCGCAAGCTGCGTACCAGCGTAACAGCTAATTGGCTGCCGCTATCCCACGTTTGGGATGCTTGATTACCCCGCTGATTCTGGAGATCTGGAACTGCCGTCAACTTTTCTTAGTCCCTCAGACCTGTGCTTCGACTTTTGTAACGTCACGCCGAGCAAAGCGCCCCACACCCCGCCTTATCTGGAAGCCCCAATAGCCAAATTTGTCCCCGGAAAATCCTAGAGATTTTTAGTCTCCAGTCTCCGGTCGATTGCGTGACATGAATTTGCAGCAGGCTTTCAAAAATTAGCCGCAAAAAAAAACAGGAACTGCAAGGTTTTACGAAGGTAAAAATTAAACGACATCAAAAGTATTAGCAAACACGAAGCATCTTGTCATCAGTAAGAAGGGCACAACTTATAAAGCTCCCGTTAACCCCTTGAAGGCAGTGTCCGGGCAAAAACTCGATTTTGAGATTTTGTGCTTACTTGGGCCTATTCGCTACGCTGAATCCGAAAATGCACATCGTAGAGCGCGAAAATGGCGAAAAACGACTCTAACACAGGAGGGAAATGAGCAGGTGGGCGGGGTCCTCCACACGGCGAAATCACGTTCCCGTCTTCCGGAGCGACCTTCTCACTTTCGGTTTCAAGTCAATCATTCGCACTTGACCGGTAACGATGTTAGGACGGCTAGCGGAAACGAAAAAATCGCTCCGCAAGCTGGGAGCGTGAAATCGCACTGGGGAAGCCCCGCCCACCTGCTGATTTTCCTCCTGTGTTAGAGCCCTTTTTCGCCGTTTTCGCGCTTTCCTATGTGGATTTTCGGATTCAGCATGGCGAATAGCCCCGTATAAGCACAAAATCTCAAAATCGAGTTTTTGCCCCACTGCCTTAAACTGCTCGGACATTCGTGGGTATTTCCCGCAAGAGTCTTGCGGAACTTGCCATGCCTGACTTTTTGAAAAGACCGTGGTGGGTCCAGTAAACATTAAATCCGGATATTCAAAGGCCACGGCGCGAACACCTGCAAAACTAGTCCTGAACCTGAAATGGGCCTGGTCCTGTGCATGTGAGCGTTTGATATGCTCAAATCTTCAAGTTTGAGAGTAGTGGCTACTTTCCAAAGTGTTTTGCAATGCAAAAGATTGACAAAGCATTGTTGACCATTGAATGCGAATTCATCTACCATATTAATAGAATTTGTCAAGGTCGTGTGTGAACCTCAACTTCATTATACCAACTTCACCCATTTTCAAGCAAACGAAAAAAGAACTAGTTTTTTGGTCCTTTATTTGGTTTCGGAAAGAATACATTAATGTCCCTCGGTCTGAATTTGAGCAGAAAGACAAATGAGCTTTAGTGATGAGGAGGTTTGGATCCATCTTTGCACAAAGACTGATGCTAACAGTAGCGCTTGTACTTTATCAAATCACTGAACTCAACCGGAGTTCACCGACTTGGTTCAAAGTGGACGTTCAAGGGCTTCAGATCTCATAATTCTTGCCAAATGTAGTACTGTCTAAATAGAAGTGGTGAAATCTGACTGTCTATCATGCACCTACCATATCCCAAGGACGCACCTTTTTGACAAAAAATGCGCCTCGTTGAACGGGCCTTTGGATTCGGAAACACCCGCTATGAACCAAGTAATCCAATGCGAGGCGGATTTCGGCGCACTCGAATGAAGTTCGGTGATGTATGACAAATTATTATATTGTACATTCTACATAACTGCCATGCCTGGTTATGAATGAGTGACGAAATTCCAAAGTTAGTGTAAGGTGAAGTTCGATGCGGTTAACTCTTTCACATACTGGGAGCAGTATGCAAACATATCGCGTAATCACTTCCCACACAAAACAAAGTGCACTTATCGCACTCAAAGTATGTTTCATAACTATCGGCATTTTTTGTATAAGTGGGTGCGATTAATCGGAAAATGTTCATTGCATATTCGACTGTATCCTATTACTCATCGACAGAGTTTGTTCAGATGAGCGTTTTATCGTTATATGTGCTGTGCCCACAGTCATTCTCTGTGGATAACGAAACCAATGCGTGTGCTACTGATTCTCATTTCTCTTTTCATTACAGTAAGCACACTAGAGTGCCATGTTGGCTGGTCCATTCTACCAGGTACGATTCTACAAAAACTTACCCCTAGGAAGTATTTACTTTAAAAGACCCGCTGGACTTCCGAACAGATTCGCAACATCGGGTTTTTTAGGTTCAAATATAGGAGAAGAAACCAAGACATGCGGGAAGAATTCGGATTATTGCTACAACGCAACGGCTCAAATCTACGTTTTCGCCAATTTCCAGAAAGCGGGCTGCAACACCCTAATCTGTCAAGTGAAAACTTTTTGCATCACTTTTCTTTGGAAATTTTTCGAGAACATAGGATTTCCAGTATGTGATGGATAGATGCGTCGAGTACACGCTCCTCGGCATTCCGATGAGGATGTGCTGTTGCAAAAACGAGAATTATTGCAATAGAGGCCCAATGCTGGTACGTTTTTGCAGTGATGTTTTACGGCAATTATTGACACTGAACAACCATTATATGAACAAAAAAGAATGCTGCCTCCGCAATATCCGATGGATGAGATCAATAATGCCGTTTCTTTCTCCATGCTCATTGGATAAAAAAAGCGCATACATCGCCTGCCCTGCCTATAAATAGTATCAGATACTGGGAAATTTTTTGGTAGAATTTCTTTTTAACGTGTGCTCAACTTCAATGATTTTCGCTTCACTGATGTGATGTTAGAAAGCAGCCATCATTTCACTAAGCAGAATCAGTGAATAAATTATTTATCATTGACTAGACGACGTCCCCGGCTCAACCGGGACAGTGGTAAACCGGCATAGCATGATTATTAAAGCGTTGTGTAACTCGCAGTTAATCTCTTTCTCTTCATTCTCAATACTAGTAGCTTTTTTTCCTTCTTTCTTCTTGCTCCTGCTCGTGGTTTGCATTGCAACGCGTAGCACCCGTTTGTTGTCTTCCTCCTTGGTCGCCTCTTTTCGTGAAATGGCATCGCCCTCACTGCGAGGTGTAAATTAAATGGTCTTTACCGCCCCTTCTACTTTACTTGGAGAAATGATTTAATGGATTGATAAACTTTTATTATCTTAGATTTAAGTAAACAAATCAATAAATCGATGGAAGGACCCAGCCAATCGTCGCAAAAAGTAGCCTATCTTTTGCGCCGTGGCTTTTTGGAGGGGAGAGAATTTCAGCCTTTTCGGTTCACGTACGAAGGAGTCTATAAGCCACAAACATCCCAACGAACAAAGTTACAGTGTTTGAGTTTTATATATTTATAGATAGTTTTCAAATCGCTGAAAGTTGTAGTCATTCTATATGCAACTCACCAAGATTTGCGGTCAAGGCTACGATCAAAATTCAATTCTGCTCATTACGTTGTCTTGAATGCACCCGTCACAAAACATTTGAGAGAGAGCCTCTGTCAGTACCATTTGACTTCATATGTTCTTGATATGCATCGAATAACCCCACCTTATAGCCAAATGTGATGGGATGATGATGATGAAGACATGGCAGTGAGAAACGTGTAAAAATCAACAAAAATGCTAAATTTGATTGACATTGTGGAAATTCTACTGTTCAGTACGCTCGTGAATCTTCATGGAATGTTTCCCGTTCACCATTATAGTTTTTCTTTCATTGGTCTGACAGATACCGTATTGAGATCAGCACTGGTGATGTGAAAAATTGTTTTGGAGTAGGAGATTGTAATTTTCTAACCAAAAGTGCGTTAGCCATGCTTTTCGAAAAATTTTGGGACAATTTCCGAAAATTCCGGATAAATATAACCCCGGGATTATCAGGACACGCCTCCCGGAAATCTCGTTACGAAACTTATTTAAATGAAATAGAAAATATTCTAATTTTTTACAGAAAACAAGTCATTTGCGCATTTCGCATGTACGCAGTCATGAGGAACGAGATAGATATTATATTGAGTCATTTCAAGTAATTTCGCTTTTTCAAAGAGGCATCACGTTTAATGGAACAAATTGTCTGAGAGATTTTGGTAGCTTTCGATGCAGCATTTCATCCTCTTTCTAATGGTTATAGTCGTTGCAGCACAGTAAGCTTCTGAGGACTTACCGAAATCTGCGACGCACGCTTTTTGAGATGCTCAACTTTCACAATTTCTCTAAGTTTTCATATCAAGTCTCCGAAGGAGCCCAACTAACGCTTCAATAGGGAAACTTTAAAGGGTGCAATGCAGTTTTTCTCTCCTTTCCGTGGCACATATTTTTCGAAAAAAATTTCAATTGATCTAACCATTCATATCTGCTCGACTCAAACCGCGTAGAACATCAAGCGGTGAGCAGCTTGGGTGTTAGATGCACCTTTTCTCCTCCTTTTAAGAAGTATTTTTTGTTCCAGATTCGCGAAGTCTTCGCGAAATCATCGTGATTCGTGTCTTCGAACGCGACCCGGATTGTGCACGAAAAATTCGAATCCAGATATTTCGACTCCGTAAATTCTCATTTACTTTGTAAAATTAGTATAAAATCACTGAAAGTTTCGAATTCCGAAGATTTATTGATGTTTGTGCGATTGTGGCTGACGTAAGCCTGCCAAAATCCGCTGGTTTTAGTGAAAAATCTTTTACGGCGAGCTATGAAAAAAGAGAAAAATTTTAACATGTCCTCTGAGCTTTGCTCTATCAAATCGTTACTTGGATTCCATCAGAGGGTTGATATGAAAACTTAGGAAAATTGCAAAACTTGAGCATCTCAAAAAGCTAATTGCGGATTTTGGCAATTTTCCAAAAGCTCATTGAGTATGCTGCAAAGATTTCATAATAAGAAAAGAGGATGAAGCTTTGCTTCGAATGCTACCAATATCACTCAAAAGACTTCGTTACATCATGACGCCTCTTTGAAAAAAGCGAAATTACTTTCAGACTGGCCAAATCATTTGGACTGAATAATACGGGAATGTCTATGTTACGATTATTTTGATTATCTTTGACATTTTAGGGTTTTCAAGGTGTGCAAGCCACCACCTATCCTGTCACATACAAGGACGAAGACCTGCCACCAGTCACGGAAACTTTGTAACAACACTAACTGTGCACAATGCAAATGTTATTACATTCGTATAACAAAGATAAGTAGAAACCTTATTTACTAATCACAAAATGTGGTCTCTTGCCCTTTCACTTGCTATACTTTGGTATAGGAGAGTGAAAGGACATGGGTACCGAAAAACGACTATATGATTTTTTGTTTTCCTCGCAACCTTACCCTAATTGTTATGTTCTACGCTCTTACGACTTCCTCTGCTGCTTGACTACATGTATACATTGATTTGTAAGGTACTGGTGTTCGGAAAGTGAGCCAGTACTTGACTTGTATCTAATCACGCAGAACTACTTTGTCGTACCATCACCTCGCTTTCTTGTTGTATTTTTCTCTTCAAGGTATCACGTTTACAAATTCTGGTCAATAAAAATTCAAAAGGTACAAATTAGATAATAATCTTAAGAGAGGTTAAATGGTGGAAGATGCTGCTGCTCACAAAAGCGTTGTTCACACAATCTGTCTGTACTGCAGTGTCTGTTATGGAATTGGCTACGCATCCGCAATGCGCTTTCGCGTGGATCTCCTATCGATAGAAACATTGCTGCCTCATGTCAAACGTTCGCGATTCGCGAGGCACTCGCGAACAGAGGTTGGAACGGGCACAGTGTGATTGCAGAGTTACAATGAAAACTTAGAAAAAAAAAAGAAAACTTAGAAACTATTAACTTGACGCAAAGGAAGTGACAAGAATTATGTGTTATAGATTTGTAAATCACAGATGTGACATTCAAGTGCTCATCACTTGGGTTGGATACCTACTCGAGTAATCGCACCGGAAAGTTCGCGAGTGCTTGTTCGACCACCAAACATTCATTCCGCACCTGCCCGCTAAACGTATATTGGGCCCGGTAAGCGGCCGCCGGTTCATAAGTAAATGCCCTTAGGCATCGGTCATACCTTTGGCGATTTCATCGTAGCGATTCTCATCGTTGGGGCATTGAATACTTTGGCGTCCAATCGCTTCGAGACTAATCGCATGTGCTCATTCTGGGCATACCTTTCACAAATTCGTATCCCCACGTCAGCCCGAATGAACGCAAACATTATCGGGTTTTTGAATTTGTCTAACATCTCTCTCTGTCAACACCTCTCAGTCTTTTTCACGCACTAATTTTCGCTTTATTACGCTTTATTAATAAAGAAGTGAAGATAATATGCGACGCATTTAGAATAAGGAAAGATGTATTGAATAGAAAAAGGAGTATATGCTGCATGCCAAGCGGTGGATGTAAACGAAAGGACTCAATAAATACTAGAAGAAAGACAGTTAACAGGCAGTTCCACGTCCGTTCTCCACGATAAGACGTGAGCAGAAATGGAGGACAATTTGGTGCTAGTCTTGTTGTGCACCAGCCATAATTGAAAAAAAAGAAGATTGCGAATTCTTTTTGGAGGAAGAAAAGTGACTCGCGACATATCGATCGTCGCTGGTGCAGACTCTGCGACGCAATTTCTCTCATTTCAGCGTGTCGTACTGGAGGTATGCCGTCAAAAAACTGCTCTCGATGCCGCGCGATTTGTCGCCCTTACAAACTGGCACGAATGAATTGAGCACGACGGGTCAAGAACGTAGGTGACTGTCAAAAAGTTGCGGACAAGCCGCCTTCCTTTTTTATCGATTTTCGGATGGAAAACAAAGATGAAAAAATGATTGGTGCATGAGCTGATAGAGCTCTTCAAGAGCTACAGCCCTACATTGCGCTTTCTGGAAAATGTATTCAAAAAAAAATTTAAAAATTTTCTTCTAAAAAGGTCCGAAAATGGCTGCGTCACATTGTCGCAAACAATAACTCTTCGAACGCGAAAGTTTTTTCAGGTCTTTATTTGGAGCAAAAACAGAAGTTTCATGAGAGATGAGCATACTATATTGTAGAGCTCATCGAGGACAATAATCATGTAGTGGTTACTTTCAAAAGAAAACCCAAGCTTGAATTTTATTTTGCTTTTAAAAAATAACCTCAAATTACCTTTTTAAAGCCAAATTTCTCCACATGGAAACCTATTCAAAACATCCTAACAGAGCTTCACAGATAAAATAAATGCTCTTTGCCTTGGTGCATTGGATATGTGCTGGTGAGTTTCTTTGCTGAAAATGGCTCTTGACAGTTCGTGCACATGACCCCACCTGCACCACTACTGACTTGCACCGCTTTGCAGGCTTGAGCTCGGCCAGCAGTCATTCTACGAGCCTGCAAGTGGGTTCATTCAAAAGAGCGTGACTTCAGTCGTGACGCAATTGTATGCAAACGAGTTGAGTTTGACAAATCCCGGAGATTTTACGGATGGGGTGAAAAGGCGCAGCTCTAGTGGTAAGCTGAAGATTTTTCAGCTAAGGTTGAACAGAGCCCTTTCGCTACCAGTTCTATCTGGAAGCTTGAAACTGTCAATTTTCTTGTAATATATCCATTTCGAAGCTCAAAAACTGTCTGGTGTTGATAAGAGCCTTCACTCCAATCACTTTTGAGGCTACGCTTTTTTACCTCCGTAAAATCTCCGCTATTTGTCAAACTCAACTCGTTTGCACACCCTGGCGTCGAGAAAGTCACGCTCTTTCCAGTGAACCTACTTTCTTCCGTTCCCCCCCCCTTACAAAATCACTTAAGTTGAACAATCAAAGAGCACTTTTGCTGCAAGCATGGGGCATGAGACAGACCTCACTGATGGTGAGCATCCACGCATATAACCTCAAGTCATTTGTAACTTAATATATGAGACTGCACACTAAGCGCTATAAGCGACGACACCCTTACTAGTAACCTTCCAGTCAAACATTTTTGGCCTAACAAGTAGAAATATGTTCTGTTGGCTAATGTATAACCAATAAAAACAAAAGAGACGAGGAAGCAAGGAGGAATCACTGGAAATGAGCAGATTCTAGTTTGGCAGTTCGTCATTCAGCGTGTATAGTGTGCACTACGCACATTAAGTCACGAATGACTCGACGATATATTAGGTTGGCACATAAATAACGCAACTGTAGAATATTGTTGTGCCGAACAGGTTGTTAGGTGGTCCTTTTATTGTCAGTACTCTTCGGCCTTACGTTTCGACGCTTTCGTCTTCATCAGAGACCTGGAATGGTTCAAAGTTTCATCCGTAACTCCAGCCCAACAACGTCTCCACCAGCCCTTGCCAATTCTCGGCTCTTCCCCCAATCTAGTGCTACAAGAATTGTGATGGCAAAATACATACCAGCGAACTACCGCTTCGTTAGATGTCCGTATCGGATGTAGATGTTCGCGACGGACGACTGAGCTATACTGAGGGATGTCACATAAACAGTTATACCTCACATAATGATAAAAACGGAAGGAAATCAGCGGTTATGGATAAACACTCGTTTTTGTTGTTCATTTCTGGATTCTTCGCAGAAATCCAGAAGGATTCCAAGGCTTTCCTAGCCAAGATCTCTTTTTCAAGCGTTAGAATTGTAACTTTGATATCAAAGTCATCTCTACTTTGCATTTTGTGCCTGTGTCTGCCAAGCGAAAAAAATAACAATTCCAACGATTCCAAGAATCCAGAAATGAACAACAAAAACGAGTGCTTATCCATAACCGCTGATTTCCTTCCGTTTTTATCATTATGTGAGCTATAACTGTTTATGTGACATCTTCTCAGTGTAGCTCACTCGTTCGTCGCGAACATCTACATCCGATACGGACATTCAAAGAAGCGGTGGTTCCCTGGTATGTCTTTTGTAGCACTAGATTGAGGAAAGAGCCGAAAACTGGCAAGGGCTGGTGGAGACGTTTGATGGGCTGGAGTTATGGATGAAGCTTTGAACCATTCCAAATCTCTGATGAAGACGAAAGCGTCGAAACGTAAGGCCGAAGAGTACTGACAATAAAAGGACCACCTAACAACCTGTTCGGCACAACAATATTCGACACTTACGAACATGCCCAGGTTTAATGACTACGGAACATGGAAGTTGTTAGTAACGCAACTTTTTATATAACTATATTACTTTATGTTCTTTTTGAACGTAGCTCATTCATTTTTTGGCAATATAAGGAATATGATGTAAACTGCAGATGCGGGCACGAATTTTATCATCTTAAGTAAGGGTTACGGTAGGTTTACGGTACAACGGGAAAATTTTTAGATCGCGTCAGATTTTGCTGCACTTAGCCTATGGGGGTTTTGACATGCTGATCACAAAAATGAGACCCGTTTCGCATGAAAAGGCCTCTTTTGTAAAGTCAAAAAATGAATGTCATCTTAGCACAAATGAATATAATATTTGTGTATATTGAATTACCCTATCGTGCAAAGATTTAGCGAATTCTGAGGTTTCACAGCTTAGTGGTTGACAGAGTGTCCTCAAAACTTGACGCATTGACTTGTTTTACTTCTCAAAGGCGCCTTATCTTAGTTTGTCTTTACATTTCACTTTCTACTAATTCTAATGTGTCAACTTTCAGCTGCATGCTGCCTATTACTTCTTTTTGATATGTTTGATTCGTTTGCTACGACTTCATTTTTGCCAAAAAACCGTGAAACCTCGATTTTCAAGGGTTTTCGATAAATGCTAATTCTTTTCTACTGCTTTATCATAAATCGAACATTGCGCAAGCTGCAGCTTACGTCAAACTCTAGAAGATGCCAAAGAATGAGAGTGCTACATTTAGTAAGAAAAAAGTCATAGAAAAAATTGCAAAATTTATGTGCCAACCTAGTATTTGTACAAGATCTAAACAAGTTTAAGCCCTTTCCATTCTTAGCACTGTCTGGAGGCTGGACCTGAGGATTCAATGTATTATCATATGGCGTTTGTAACTGTCATGCTGATCACGGAAATCATACACACTTTACAAGCTTCTTTGGTGACCTTACCATATGTGTAAGGTAAGAGATGAAGTATTGAAATTTGGTGAAACTTCATCAATGGAGTTAGCCAATATGCAGTCCACGAGAGAGTCATTCCCTCTCCGGTGGAATAGTGATATTTACTGGTCTAGCGCTCTTCTTCTTCACCTCATTCAATCATAGTACCCCTCCATTTGTGAACAAATTTGTCTTGATCACGACCCCCTCAGTCTTACCTCCAACACGACCTCCCAGATCGGGCGCGCCTGACCCATGCTCAACGCTGTAAGTTATAGGCTTACAGAATATCTGCTGGCCGAGTCACAAGCATGCAAAGTGGTACAAGTCAGTGGTGGGGTAATATGACGCACTACCAAAGAGCCATTTCTAGAAAGCAAACTCATCAACACATTTCCGATGCATAAAAGATAATAAAGAACATTTATTTTTTTTTTCGGGAAGAAATTTGAGTTGGAGAGAATTAGACATTTTCTGAGAAATGCAAAATAAAATCAACTTGTGTTTTTAGGACACAACTAATAAATACTCTTGACGAGCTCTATATAGTATCATGCTTACCCGTGTTCTGTTTCCGTTTCAAAAATAAACACAAAAAAGAATATTCGCGCTTGAAGAGTTGTTGTCCATGATCTTGATCGGCCATTTTCAAACTTTAAAGGTAGAGCAATTGTAATTTTTAGAATTCATGTATTCAGCGTGAGGTGTGGGTTCCAGCTATTGAAAAGCTTTATCATCACATGCAATCCGATCATTTTTTCATCATTGTTTTCCATCTGAATATGAGCGATGAAAAAGTGGGCGGCTTCTTTGCAACTTTTTGGCGGTCACTGTACACCGATCACATTGAAAAGAGGCATTCGATCGAAGTTTTAGAGATTTTCTTGCTACGACTTGCGTCAACCAATATAATGTTGTATTGCAAGAAAATTTTAATAATTCATGTATGGAATTTCCAAATAGCTTTCAAACATACAGTAGTTACAAACATTGCGCTAATTAAGGCTCCAGCTTGTTATTAATTCTAGTCTCATTCATAATTCTAATCTATAAAAATCCGGTTATTCTCAAAATTGTGGTAGGTTTGTTGAAACCAAGGCCTCATAGTACGTGTGTTGCTTCCTTTTTCTGTTGAATGACGAAGTTCTGAACAGTTGAAGTTACACGAAAAGAGACTATTCTATCCACTTTTATTGGAGCTCACCTCACAAAAGACTCGCCAACAAAAGCATAGGAAAAGAAAAAGTGATGATGGATATTGAATTGCATAAGTCTCCAGTGTTACAGCAGCAAAACTTCACACCAGTATAGCCATCAAACTCCTTGCTGATGCACTCGTTGTTAGCCAACTGAAATCAGAGGCGCAGAATGAATTATAGTGGTTCCGCTGTTACTCACCGTACATTCCAATGATGATCTGCACCCGAATTTCTTAATATTTATCTTATCAATAGTAGCGTTGAAGCAGTAGTCATTCGAATTCTTACACGTTTCCGTGGACTTGCCTAAGAACTTGATGTTAAAAAAAGTGTCACAAATTTTTATTATGCAGCGTGTTCCAAAGTTTTGTAAACACTGTTTGATAGTTAGTATCTCTCCTCCCAAGAATTTGATCAACTTCAGGTACTATTTTGTGAAGCTTTTTAGAAGACCCAATCACCGATTCTCTTCATTATCTAAGATTACGATAGCAATTTCCAGCTGTATGCGCCATTGTGATTTAACTGCATTTCAAAATAAATTTTAAGAAAATCTGAAAAGTTATGTATCAGGGTTTTCACGCATGCAGATTTCTCCACTTAACTTTTCCACGTTTCCAAACCTTTTAAATGATGGAATCACAGGTTTAAGCCGCATAGAAATAACAATTGTTATGCAATAATTGGCATAACTAAAAGACTAGCTTTTATGATGTGCAAATCTCATGGTCGAATTCAGCGACTTTAAAATTAGTCTAGTGCAAGTGTTTTTAAGTTGTTTCGGTCTTGCTCTAACGTGATATATACTCCACAATAATCTGAAACCCTCCTCAAAGTTCCTCCTTAATTCTATATTGATGAAGACGTACTGTAAATCTAAGTTGATCAAACAGTGTATACAAACTTTTGGGACCTGTATATGCCTGATAAGTGTACTATAAGCACACCCCTCGTTGATTTACCTTCAATGCAAGCCTTTCTTGAAAATTGTTGTTTGCAGTCAAGATTTCGATGTACTAACGAAATCTTGTTGATTTCGCTCATATTCGAGCCAACATTTCAGCACGTTTTTGATAAGCTTTTTAATCATTTCCAAAATGTTTGGTTATAAGGCCACTTTTGAGAAACTCACCTAGATCGACTCCAAAGGCGGTCTGACCACTGTAGCATTCCAAAGCAAGGCAGCTGCATAGAAAAGCAGCAAAGATGAAGAGGCGCACAGGATTCATTTTATCGCAGAAAAGATCTAAATATACTATGAAAATCATATAAACTGAAGCACCCAACTACTACTCGTAAATCGTAGGCATTTTGTTAATGACAGTGAATATGGGAGAATTGCTTGTAAAATGGCGTACTTTTTACATCAATAATGTAAGTGATGCATTATTCACCGCACAAAGGTAGGGATTGGGTAAATATGCCTTTTACGGTCTATAGTCAACATACATACAGCTACTTGGAATATGACTAACACAATGGTCGTTATATATCCGCCTTTTGAGTCGAAAAATTTGAAGTCAGTGCCCAAATTTCACGGATTCATGGATCCAATTTTACAAGAAACTTTTCCCTCGAGGCTATCCAATTTATGACTTTGTGTTGAATTAAGCTCTTAATAATTTTTTAGTCACTTCATCAAACACTAAGTAGGCTGTAGGTCATTAATTCACTGATCACATTCAGTGATTACAAGGACGAACATCATTCTTGCGTGTTCTCAGAAGACAGCTTGCAAAAAATGTTTATGAGCACAAAATTTGTAAAAATATTGCATTGATAAGTTGCTGTAGGTGCTAGTTCACAATAACTAGTACTAGGTAGTTGGACTGTGGATTTTGAAAGTGTCTATAAGGGAGATGATTTTGTTGTGAGCCAGGTGCTGCAAGCCCTGGTTTCGAATATGGGTTTACTTGCAAACAAATTCGATGGAGAATGTTTGTGTAAAGGAAGTGACAGAACAGTGAAAAGCATTTAGCCGTACCCAAGAAGAAGTATACCAAGACAATAGCATAAATGACTGATAAGCGTTTTTTCTAAAAATAAATATATGACTCAGACAAGCGAAGCAAAGTCGATTAAGGAGACATTTATGGCAACCACATTAACATTTAAAAAAGTCGCTGGAGAAGTAAATTAGAAGCTTGCATTGTTGACTGGATCATGAAACATCATTGATGTACAACCGCTCTTCCGGTCGTTACTCCTCAGGAACAGTTGATAATAAGAAAATTTGATACCGACTATACTTACCGCAAAAAATACGAAGATTTCCGCACATGCGCATTCAAGCGCGAGCTTCCAACTGCCGCTGACATTAATGGACAAGTTACAAACACAAGAGTCCTTACTCATTTTTTATGAGAACTTTGTGCGGCTATCGCACTGGGCCATTGTTCCTTTGGTACCGTTCAGACTAAACCGAATATGATCTGATGAGATTCAGTGGGGTAAGCATTGTACAGTGACATCTAACAATAAGTACCAATCCCATTGCAATAAGCAACTTTTGAAACGAAAAAGTTACACGAGAATAGGGCTCAACGACGCATACGTACATTGCACCCTTCCCACAAAGGAGGGCTGACAAGCAGACACCCTACGATTTTACAAACTCATAGCCCAGTTTCGAAGTCAACCAAGCCAGGAGTTCAGGAGAATGGGAAAGTCAAAATAAATCAACCCTGGACAGTGTCGTTGCAAACGGACACTGGTTCGGGAACCAATCAGGACAAAAGGCAACTCAGGTGATTCAACTACAGAACGATTATCTAAAATATGCATGCTGCCAAATACAAAAGATTGTGGGCGAAATTTGTATAAATTAGCTAGTATTCACTATAGTATCTCGAAATACTCGCCAACCATCTTGTGAATATTTCTATGTGGCAGTCTGTTCACACCATGCCGCCTGTGTAAACGCATCGCAAATGCCCTGTGGAAATGGCATCAGCTTAATGCAATAATTTCCAAACTAATGTTTTGCGATGCCTTTTTCAGATATTGCCGCTTTTCCGAATTGCGTAGAGGTCTTTTTTTTGTAGGTCAGATGTTGATAAGAGCAAAGGTTTTCAGTCGGCTGGTGGCATGCCTTTTTGGAAGGAGGACAACCACTGGAATAGGTTCAAAGATTGGCTGACGCGAAGCCGCGTTTGAGGCTCTCAAACCAGTGATTTCGTCGATAGCTGCTAGAACATAAGTGTGTTACGGTGCTCGGCCACTTGTGGCCATCTTGAGAAGTTTGATATCAACATTTCTCACTAGTGACTAGTGATTCATTTCCCGGCCGTGTCAGCAATGCAATAAACGAAAAAGGCACCAAAAAAGCTTTGCTTTTATCAACATCTGACCTACAAAAAAACGCTCCTACGCAATCGGAAAAGAGGCAGTACAGAAAAAGGCATCGCAAAACATTACGCTCAAAAATTATTGCACGAAGACGAAAAGTAAGAAGACGCACCATCTGCGATGCATCTTCTGTCGAGTGAATGTCGCTTTGCCTAAGCATCGATTTTTTCAAATGTCTGTATAGCTTTCCCTCCAAGTCCGCATTACAAATCAAAACTGGATTCAATTATTGTCATCGTCTTGAATCTTGATTTTAGAGAGTGCTTATCAGCCAATGATGTCAGTGTCATGGCAATACAGTTATTTTGAGTTTGACTGAATTCTTTCCAATGTGACTGACTGAGACTCTTATCATTTGCAACCGGAAAAAAATGAAAAGTAAAGTGTTAAGTCGCGATGTTTCGCACTAGTCTTCACTCCCATAACTTTTTCTGATTGTTGGATGCACGAACGCGAAGACACTCAAAGGCCTTGTTTAGAAATAATCCTGACATTCGAATTCTTGATTTTTAGGTTATCATTACAGCATTATGGTGGTATCTTCTAGAAAACATACAAAGAAGATGAAGAAAGTGACGTTTATGGACGGAAGACCTCCCAGTTCAGAAACACCGGGTCGACATGGGACCGTTGCTTTACTTTGTTTGCATGTGAGCTTGGGATAATCGATGAATTAAATCCAAGGAAAAACTCGATACTTAAGACATTGCTAGGAACGAATAAGCAATGATCATGGAACTAAGCGAACTTGAACCGAGGGCTGAAGGTACCATGTTATGCCGCCGATGGCCCGCTCCAGTAGCCTCACTGGGCATCCACCTTTGTCAAGGATTGGACTTCACCTAAGACACAATGGAAAATCATGGGCACAACAAATGTGCATGTTTCACTCAAAGCTAGAAGAGGTACAAATCAAACTGACCTTTTACCGATTAGCTACTCCATTCAGTCAGATGTTTCAAGGAACTCTTCTGACTCAGATTAGTATATTTCTTATCTATTTGTCGTTTGAGAAGAGAATGAAGGGACGAGATTGGAAATATGTGTCAGGAAAAATTCTGCAGGATAAACTTTCAATTGCAAGATTTATGAACCTTTTACTCATGTCTCTTTCACACTGATTGCCGTTTAGGGTCCTCGAGGAGCAGAGATCAAAGGTAGAAAGTTGCAATTCTGATGCACATTCGAGTAAAATTGCAGATTTTCTGTTTGCTTTTTCATGATTTCTGTAATGTTTTTGTGGTTGTCATTTATGTCCGCATTCGAGATATTTTCTTAAAAGTCATCAACTTATTCTTTGGCTGTGGCTATCACAATAGTGTTTTTGTTCAATGCATTTCTAATTGAGCTAAATGTTTTTCTATGTTGCGTCACGAATGTTCTCTCCGCAGCGATTTTGTTTGCAAGAATGCAAAGAGTAAGGTACGAAACTGACACGACTTCAGACATGTACAATACCGCTCACATTTTTTGAAGGAAAACGCAAATAGACGTAGACTTGGGCGACAGTCGCGTAAGTCATGCGACGGTCGCGTGAGTTACGTGACGGTCACCTAATTCATGTGACATCACCGTCGAGCGGCCATATCTCGCTTCAGAGTGAACGAGTTCTAACTCCGAAGCCACCATTCGTATCAGCTCGGTGGAGAGCATCTTTTGATAAGTTGGAAGGAGGGTATGTTTTCTTCGGTATTCCGTTTCCAGTTTTCTCAAATTCTTCTGCGGAGGTCCTTTCGCAAAGATGTGAAGCAGCGCCTATCCAAGATGGAACATTCCACTAAGTACTCTAATTTCAAGCGTATAAGACGCCTTTTTCGGTTTCTCAAGCGTGCCACTCAGTCGCTTCGTTTCGGAAAACGAGACTTATGCCGCACGATATTCTCAGGCAATATGCAAAATGTAAATAGATTTTTGGTGGAAGTCCTTCGACGTGTCTGTGCTGTTCGACTTTAAAAAATCCCCCGCATCCTATGTGCATGAAATTCAGGTACTATTCGATAGTACCTTCTTTGTAGATTGCGGAGAGTTAAAAAACTTCCGCAGACCTCTTTCCAAAGGTGATAGAAGGCAGATTGTGGGAAAATCTTGTCGTTACAAATATCACTTGTCATAGCCCTAGAATACGAAGCTTTCTTGCTAAGCAGATATGAGTTTCATAATCAGCAGGTCGGATAATCTCTATGAGCAAGTACTGAGTCACGAAAGTTGGTAAAGAAATTTTCCTGCACTTCTCGTTTCTCTCAGAAAATTTGCCTGCTTGCTTTTGTGAGTCAAAGTCACTAGGAACTGTGCTATCGAAGTGTGCATGTCTCAGGCTTCACTCTGTAACAATTGACGAATTACGAGCCTACGAATACACGTCCTCTGAATCTTTCACCAAATGTAAAGGTCGCATACTTCATCGAAATTCCACCGTGAGTGGTTGTATAACACGCTGATCAAATTTTTTCACATCCTTACTGGATCTTATTGTGTTAGATTTGGTAGTTTGAGCTCTAGCGAAGAAGTTGCTTCGATATTCAATTGAGTAGCTGAAGCACACGCAAGCAGCATATTCGATAAGTGCGAGTCATTGGGAGAAGCGAACATAATATCCAGTGTCATACAAGCACTCACGGTGGAATTTCGACGAAAATTGTGATCTTTGCGTTTTGGGGAAAATTCACGAGCACGTGTTTTCTTAGGCTCGTAACTCAGCGATTTTTACAGATTGGAGCCCAAGAGATCCATCATTCGATAGCACTGTTCCTCGTAACTTCGACTTACAAGAGCGCAAATTTTCTGACAGATACGCTAGAAGTGCAGAGAAATTCACCAACTTTCATGATTCAGTTACAGTTCCCTCACTATATTTCTGCAAAAAGCTGTACTCGATGGAGACCACGATTTTCATAAATAGC